TATTACCTCATCCCTACATCAATAATAATTATTTCTCGGTTTTTAAGAAAACAAGTTCAATAATGGTGATCTATTCAAATCTAGTTGGTCATTCATTAAAATGTTTGAATTGTTAAGTTTATTAACTTCCATTGTTTCCAAATTATTCAGTTCCAAACATTTATTTTCTACGTGTAAAATTTCGAACTTCTCGTTAAAGACATGATTTTCTTCTAGAAGATGATTTGAATATGTTGAATTTGTTTCTTTACATAGCTCGTATGATGTTCCTGGATTCGATTCCTAAATGTCCTGCCTGTTTGACCAATATATACCTTAGGGCAAGTTCAAACTTTAATTTACATACTCCTGATTTTTCGAATTCAGATGTTTTGTCTAACTAAGTTTCCCAACGTATTACTTGTTCTATATGCAATTTTAATATCTCGTTTCCTCAAAAATGAAGCCACTTTTTTCGTTGGTTGTCCAAAATACGTTGAAGCTTTATAATTTTGATTATCTACCTCATCAATCGGAAAAATGTCTCGAATCGCTTTTGCGTAGACTTTCTTGGCAAGTATTTTGTTTATTAATTCGGCTTTAAACCCATTGTTAACCGCAATTTGCTTGATTATAAGTTCTTTATTGAAATCTTATATTGAAAGAGGAACATTGATTAATCTGTGAATCATGCTATTATAAGCTGTTACTTTGTGTTGATAAGGATGGGTAAAATCGTAATGTATAGTAAGTAATATCCGTATAGGACGGTTTGTGATAAATTGATGAAATCATATTTGTTGTTCATTCTACTAATTGTTGGGTCAAAGAAATGGATTGAGTTGTCTGCTTCTATTTCAATAGTAAATTTGATGTTTTTATGAATTTTGTTAATATCCCTATGAAAAGTATCTAATTGCCTCTTAGTACCTGTAAAACATACCTAAACGTCATCCACATATCTATGCCAATACAAAACATTCTCAATCAAATGATGTTTGAAGATCGACTTCTCTAGATTATCCATGAAAATTTCTGCAAGTGAGGGGCTTAATGGATTTCCCATAATTGAACCTTTTAAGGAGAAATAAATAGGGAAGACTGGGGCAAGATGAAACAGCTAAGACAGAACTCGTTATACAAAGAAAATTAAAGTCTTTAATAACATTCTTTAACAAAAGAGGTAACCATTATACATTTCTCTCTTATAATTAAATGTTGCAGCATGCAAAATCACAGAACATTTTTTGGCAAATAATGAAAAAATAAACTCGGCAAATTTCCCGTTTTGCCCCATAACTGGGGTAAGATGGGAAACGCTGTGGGGCAAAACGAGTACGCTTTTCAATCGGGAAGACAGCGTTCACAAATGTGTGCCTCTTCATCTTCCTCATCTACTCCGGCACATGAATTATGCGCCCAACCGTGGCACACGCCGTAGATGACCCAACCTTCGGTTGAATCTGAGTATAAGTACCCACGATAGATGCAAGCACAGTCATCATCCTCTTCTTGGGATGAACTATCTTCCTATTCAGTTTCTTTTTTTCACCTTTTGGTTTGACGCTTTTTCTGCAGGTTTTCCTTGTCAGTTGTCTTTTTAATCTTCTTTGCAGTCTTTTTTCCAGGTTTCTTTATTTGTTTTTTACCTTTTTCAGTCACTTGATTATCAGTACATAGAAAATGTTATTTTAATCACAAGGGCGGGGCAAAACGGGATAGTATCCCATTATGCCCCGATCATCTTGCCCCGATCCACACGTAGGTAAAAAAGAAGACGCAATTGTAACCTCAAACTTTACCGGCTGGTTTGAATTTAATGTTTTGGACTACTATAATAAGCTCGGGATTGAAATAATACATTAACACAGGTACTTACATGTTTGTACATCAGTTTTCGAATCAAATATCGCGTAAAAACACTTGCAATATCACTTTTTTCTCTCTGCATCGCAAAAACGAATTCTAACCTGTTGGCTCTGCTTGGACACACTAGCGGAGAGTGAAATTCGTGCAAATGACGCTGTCGCTGTTCCGAACACGATTACTATTCAGGCACACAAGCTTACTTCCCGTGCTGCCCCGAACTTCATCTTGCCCCGGTCTCCCCTATTGTTGTTAACATAACATAACGACAGAAAGTCAATTATTTATCGTTTCATGATTGGGTTTACTCTATTTTTATCTAATAATTCTATTACTGAAGTAATAGTATCATCAGGAGGTATGCTGGGAAATAGAGTCTGCACATCAAAGGATAGTAATTTTGCGTTGTCTGGTAGAGGTATGTTCTCTATTTTATTGATTAAGTCAAATGAATTCCGTAGACTGAATTTTGGTTGGAAGTTACAACAGTTCAAGATGATATTGATTAGCCTTTCTTATAATTTCACTGATGATGCAGTGACAAAGGAAACCACTGGTCTAATTGGACAGCTCTGTTTGTGCAGTTTTATGAGTGAATATAATTTGGGTATTTGAGGGTTCATCAATGTTAATTTGAACTGTTCCCTTTCAGTTTTTGAAATTACTATGGATCTTCATCAAGTGACGGCCAAATCAATCAGAAAAAAAATATATTCTTGATTGATAAGAAGTACTTTTCTGCGATCGTTGAGATTTTTCAGAAACTGCCGAAGAGGAAATATCTATCAATTAAATCAATAAAAAAACACAAATGATCAAAATCAGTTGACGGGGCATTATTCACCTAAAATTTTTTTTCAGGATACTACAACAACAACCCGAAAACCCACAACAACAGTTAAACTAACTGTACTCGGAAAGTCATCTCGATGGGTCTCAAATCGCTTGATGGAAATCGTCAATCCAATGATTAATGTTATCAACCCATTCAGAAGACCGAAGATATTCGCAGATCGAATTGTGGATAAAGCTCTCGATACTTTCGATCATATCTGGGGAACTATGATGAGCACTATATGAATGAACATTTGTGAATATACGTTTCCTGGTTACGAAGTTTTTTATTCAAGAACCAACTTTATCGTTTTCGGTATCGATGAATGAATAGAATGTCCAACAAGTACTTCACTTCATGTCATATTGTTATTACGTGAATAATGTTTCACACATTGAATTCGCGTCAATTATTTTTTTGAGTCAGCAGTAGTTATAGCGCCTCAGTTTATACTTTGAGCTATAATAGGATCGGAATGTAATTGATGATCGCAATAGACCATAGGTGAATATATTTGTGAAACGCCATACTTCCAGTGCAGGTTTTGAGGATCCAAGGTTGAATAATATTCTACTAACTGCATAAAACTGATGAAACTACAGTGTAGAGAAACGTTCTTCGAATAAAATTCGTTTTGAAAATTTTATAATTATCATCATGGATGGTGTTGATAATTTTGATCAAGTTACGAGTCACCATACAATTGGTGACAAAATAACGAAAATTTTATTATAATATGGGTTATTATTGTTTATTCCAGTTAATTTAGGAAAAGTCGTACGTGAACGAAATTATTCAATATTTTCCATTCATTTGTATTTTATATCTAATTCGTTTTCAGTTATATTGGTTTCAGCTCCAAATACCTTCACAAGTTGACCCAACCTAGCTATTTTCTCTCAGTATTTTGTTAAACTTCAATAGTTGATTCACTACTAATTCATATCAAACATTCAATATTACCGCAACAATTTTTGAAAACTTAACCAATAATACTAGCAATTTATGTCCTACTTTTCATATATTTAATCATTCCTGATATCATATCATTCAGAAATAATATGTATATAACGTACATGATATAGCGGAGAAACACCAATATTTTAAGAGGTTGGTAATGTGACGTCGTAAATAAACACATTTTTGCGCAAACATTGTGAACGCTGGCTGAACCGTACGAGATTAAAAAGGTCTACATAAGTCCGCGATGGTATATGTATATCTCTCAGGGATAACCATCAATAACCATTTTTTATCCTCGAGAAATAATGGCTCATTTACGAAGCGATTTTAAGCATTACATCATTGATCCTTATCCAATTAATTACTTCGAATACATTGTGCATTTAATATAGATCAATATGGCCCTTCACAGCATGTAATTTGTATGAAAATTTGGAGTGCAGGGACAAAGCGATTGCGGCGGTACCGGCCGGGGGGCCGCAATCGCTTTGTCTCTTTGGCTCTACTCAAACTGAACGTTTCATCTTCTTGTTTGTTCTTTCATACAGCTAGAACACATTAGTGCAGGTATTTGTCCTCTCATTTCATCCGGACATCTCTTTAACTTTGCCTGTACTTGAGTTACATAAGATAATATTCTTTGTGTTGGTGTTTTTTCTAGATTCATTGTTTCTAGGAATGTGTGTGACTATTGAATTTAAGTTTTCCCAGATGTCCATACGGTTTCCTTTATTGACTCGTTTTATGAGTTTGATGTTTTCTGGTCGGGAAAAGTTATGTTTGTTTTGTATGGCGTGTGTTGCGAGGTTTGATTTATATGTTATTGGGTTTATGTATGCTTCTTTGTGCACGTCGTACCTTTGGATCAGATTTTTCTTGGTTTAGCCGATATAGAATTTGTTGCAGTCCAAGCATTGTGTACTGTACATACCGTTGAGGTTTTTGTGTTCTTCTTTTTCATAGCTGTTTATTTTTTGTTTTATTTTCGTGTTCGAATTGTGACTGAGGTTGATGTTCAAGGGTTTGATGATGTTTGTTAATTTTTTTGGTTTGGTGACTTATGTATGTGGATGCAATTCAACGCTCGCATATAATATTCATAACTATTTTCTATGTCTTTTCCATAACATCAGAAAATTCTTTTGCCAAAACTCAATATCTTTTTTGTTTTCTCCACAAAAATAATGCTTTGGTACATCAACTTTTTCAAATGATCTCATCACGAATAAATTTTTATATGTTATCATATTCAGTTAAAGGTCTTTATTCTATTGTTTTCTATCTCAATATTTTAATTGTGAGTATAGTAATTTGGCTAGGATATATGCCATAATAACTGCTTTTGATTTTTTTTCAGATTCACCCCTCCTCCAAAAATAAAACGGAGACAACCACAACGGCAACAATCACAACAGCAACAACCACACCAACACAGGAAGAAACCTCAGAAGACAAGCCAACAACGAAGAAATTGAGTATAATGGGAAGAGCGGTAAAATATTGTTCTGATGTTGTGATCCAAGTCATGGATCCAATGATTGATGTGGTCAGTCCTGGCCTAAGACTTACTGAGTTTACAGAAACTTGCATGGATAAATTTTCGAAAACGTTCGATCATGTTTGGGGCACCATTATGGGTTCTTTGTAAATGAACGTTTCTGAATATACTTCATCGATTGAAAAGTATATTTCAGAAAACAACCCCACTTTCTTCAGATGACCATTTTATTCAAATATAAAAGGTTATACATGAAGACATGTACGGTATTCATTATTTTGTTCACGATATGTTTACATCATTTTCAAAAAGAGTTTTTCAAACGTTCATGGAGAAGAGTTGTAAAAGTACTTCATTAAATGTTTTCAAAAAACATTGTTTCCTCAGTCCTCCCTTTTCCCAAAATGTTTGACCATCAAATCCTATAAATGATAGCAAATACATTCAACGATTATGTTTTCGATGTTGGAGAAGTATATGCTAAAAAAATTGACAAGACATCAAATCCATCACCATAAAGGACATCAATACAAGAAAGTATATTCCTCAAACCTGTAAACAAAAATGAAATTGTGAGTATCACAAATTTACTTAAGATTACCAAATCACCAGGTTTCGACAATATAACTGTAAAAACTTTAAAAGAAATATTTGAGGAAAATCTGAACAATTGGCACATCTTATCAATCAAATATATAAAACTGGCAAATGTCCATCTGGAATTCAAAATTTCATTTGTTACCACGGTATATAAAAAGGGCGACAAATCTCATACTTGTAATAGGCCGATCTCTCTGATTACTTCAATTACAAAAGTTTTTGAAAAGTCACTAAAATCAAGAATGAATGATTTTCTTGATAAGAATAACGTGATATCACCCCTTCAGTACGGGTTCAGAGAAAAATTATCGACCAATGATGCAATTTCCAAAATAACCAGTGAAAGATATATGAATTATTTCATATTGGCATATGAATTATTTTCAGATTATTTGAGTTGCCGCAATTCATCCAGATGAATACCTAAAAACTTAACACTACTATCATCAATTTTTGAAGATGTTATCAACATTGAACCGGAGATTTCCAATTTTTTTTCTGGCGATTGTGAAAACGAATAACCAGTGTTTCATTCGTGTTGGTAAATAAATCGTGCCCAGTGAAGAAAAGTGTATACTTGATTTAACGCCCTTGAGCATTAATTTTATAAAATTGTAGTATCAAGTGCAGAGACAATTAATGACAAATCCTCAGCATAGGCAGTGTAACTAATGTTTTCAATTACAGAGTCAATGCTGTTTACATAGAGAATAAACAAAATAGGGCCCAATATGAAGCCCTATGGTACACCCGTTGTTATGTTTCTACGTTAAGACTTAAATTTGAAGGTATCATTATTTTTCGTCATTTACAATGACACAAATTAATCCCGATTCTTGAGGAATGAATTTATCCAACTGGGTGAAATACCTCTTATACTATAATATTCCAATTATGAAGCCAGTTTTTCATAACTGACACAGTCAAATTCACGGATCAAGTCGATTGCTTAGGAAAAACTCCTGATGAGAGCGTCATATTGATCGTATTGATCAAGTCCTTGTATTGATTAAGTAAGAACTATTTTTTGTATGAACATCAGAATGTCATCTGAATCTGAAGATTTTTTAATTTCAAGTTTGGTAATCACTGAATGAAGTTATTCACTTTCTGTTCCCAGCGTTTCCCAGCGTTTCCCAACCTTTTTCAGTCCACGGACCCTTAGGAAATCAAGCACAGTTTTCACGGACCCCCTTAATAAAATAAAAAAATAAACGGATTAGGTATTTATTTTAGTTATTACAGATACAAAAAAACAAATACAGGAGGTAATTATAACTGTTTATTATGAAAAATATGAAAAAAAAAAATATTGTGAAAGTTGGTGTTGCTTTTTTGCAACTAAATCAGGAGTATTCGGGTTGATGTTGCTACTAAGATGTTATCTCAAATCAGATTCTACTTGTAATCTGTTTCTGTATTTGTTCTGTGTATACACAAGAGTAAAGAATGCCTTTTCACATAGGTATGTGGTTGAAAAAAGCAGTAAATGTTTCAGTGCTTCGTACGATATCTCCTTATAATCTGTCTTTACATTCACCCAAAAACTTGATAGTGAAGATTCGTTGAAATTGCGTTTCAATGCTGAATCACAGGATATTTCTATTAATTGGTTTTCCTGTGCCGCTGTCAAGCCAGTGATATCAGAAACATCTGTGTTGAAAGGGTCTGATATCCAATTTTCATTTTTGTCGGGTACTGGAAAATAATCCCGAAACGAAGACCTCAAAGTGCGGAGATGTGTCACCATTTCATCTTGTACTTGTGCTGGCAATATTGCTCCACCAGAGGACTCCAAAAACGCTGACAGTGTTGGAAAGTGATTATAGTTTTTTTGAATTGTACGATTTATCCAAAGGTCAAGTTTTTTTAGCATCGTTTCAATCCTATCATCGACTTGGAAGATGTTGGTATCTCTCCCTTGTAGACCTAAGTTCAACTCGTTAAGGGCACTAAATATATCAGCCGAATATGCTGCCATTGTAAGCCATCCAAAGTCATTGAAGTGATCAGCATATTTGCTAACGCTGTGTCCAGAATTCTTCAGAAAGAACATTCTGATCTCATCTCTCAGCTCAAAAACACGCGTCACAACTTTGCCATGAGATAACCAACGGACTTCAGCGTGCAATAATAACTGCTTGTGAATGCTTCCAATTTTCTTCACAAATGATACCGAAAATACGGGAATTTAAAGGCCTAGCTTTAATAAAATTGACCACCTGCACTATGTCGTCTAACACTGTTTTTAAATAAATCTAAAGTAAATGGAACTTCAAACGTTCAAGCCAGTCTCTATATACCTACACAGTAGGTTTAATGGACTGACGCCTATCAGAAAACAACTACTCCCCTGGCTAATACCACGAAGGGCGTTGGATTATATCCGACAGGCGTCAGTGCAGGAATTTTCACAGAAAATGTCCTGCATATGCAATTGGCAATACAACTGAAAGAGTCGACCTTCAATTTCAGTTGTATTGCCAATTGCATATGCAGGACATTTTCTGTGAAAATTCCTGCACTGACGCCTGTCGGATATAATCCAACGCCCTTCGTGGTATTAGCCAGGGGAGTAGTTGTTTTCTGATAGACGTCAGTCCATTAAACCTACTGTGTAGGTATATAGAGACTGGCTTGAACGTTTGAAGTTCCATTTATTTTAGATTTGTTTACGGCCAGTCTTCAAGCATAGCCCACTGACTAATAAGACTGTTTTTAATTGTTCTGGCATGTTTTTAGCTGCTAATGCCTCCTTATAAATGCAGCAATGATGCCAGATAATAGCTGGATTCATCTTCTTAACGCGCGCCTGCAGCCCTATTCGTGTCTTGGTCATATCCCGAGCACCGTCGGTGCTAACTGCCACACACTTGTCCCATATAATATCATGAGTGGACATAAAGTTGTTCAATACTTCAAATATTGCTTCACCTGTAGTGTGCGAAGGTAAAGGTTAACAAAATAAAAAATCCTCACTTATGCTGTTGTTGTGTTCGTAACGAACATATGCAAGCAAGTTTGCATCATTGCTAATATTCGTGCTCTCGTCTGATTGCAAAGCATAAAATCTGCTTGCTTTACCGTCGAAAATCAGCTGTTCTTTAACATTTCCCGACAAATCATCAATTCTCCTCTTCACTGTGTTGTTTGATAACGATACAACGTCCAATTCTTTTGAAGCTTTGTCACCTAACATAGCAGAAACCATGATTTTAGCACACGGTAAAATTAAGTCTTCAGCAATGGTGTGGGGCTTACCACTTTTTGCAACTAGCAAAGATACTTGGTAGGACGCTAATACAGCACTTTCGTTATTGGTCCCAGTAGCAGTCTTTATCATTGTTTTTTTGCTTTGTTCCAATTGCGAGGCTTCAACTTTGAAAAAGGCTTTTGATTTGTCACGATATTCCTGGTGTTTTGTTTCTGAATGACGTCGGAGTTTGGCATCGACTCATTTGACAAAACTTCGTAGCATATGACGCACTGAGGTCTGTCTTCCCCGTTTAAATTGGTACTTGTGAAACCGAAAGCTAAGTATTCGTCGCAAAACTTACGACGTTCAACCTTTGAAGTCGAAGGTTTTTCATTTGCTTCGTCCAAAGCGGAGTCATTTGGTTTTAACCAACGTTTCATTTTCTCAGGTTACAATAACTTGAAAAACGTAATTTTACTATTTTAATCTCGGACACAAAACAATTGCACTAATCGCGGGCGGCGGGTGTAAGCCTAATTTGCGAGCAGTGCGGTGCGGTGCGGTGGGGGAAGAGTCCCGGCTCGGCGCGACGCCAGCACGCACTTGATTCACTCACATCATTCATTCGCTCTCGCTCACCGCACGTTCGCCGTGCTAAGGAAGCGTGGCGATTACGAAAAATTAAGCATTTCGCTCATTAAATGCAGAAGGGACGCAATCCCAAATATATTTTTTTCACAGGAAAGCCAAAACAAAATTTGAAAAACCAATTTATGTATTTTTTCTTCTTCTTTTTATAGATTAATAATAGTGTTATACATCATTGGATGCATCTTTTTTAATTTTTTTAAATATCGTGTGCTTAGATCACATTTTTCTAATAAAACTGGTTTGCTGATTTTTCGTTTTGCGGCCCTTTTGCATTTAATGAACGATTTATGAATGGTCCAGAGAAGACACCGCGGACCTCCATACATATACTCGGGCACCCCCAGGGGTCTGCGGACCACAGGTTGGGAAACGCTATGTTGAAGGATTCAAAAATAAAGTAAAGGGATTTTTGGTCACTTTTGAAATGAAAGTTTTTGTTGGAAGGAATTTAGCTTACCAAATTAAAGTAAAAGGTTTTTATCACGAATTGGTTTTTAGCTCTCATAACAAAAAAGAGAATTCTCAGCATCTAAACGTGGTCAGAACGTGATTATTCAGTTTTTGACCAAGAGAATCGATTTTGATTTCGAATCCGCTTTCAATTTTCCATTCAAAAGTTCGGTAATAGTTCTCAGATCGATATTCGTCTTCCTTATTGTATTTTTGAGCAGTCATTTTTCTCAGTCTTACCGTACCTATATCACATGCAGAGCACATGTCCTATCATTGTCAGATTTTCAAATATAATTTTTTAGGCAAACTCACACGTCGATTAATTTTTCCAAGGAATCCAAAGTGTTTCACTTTTTGTAGGCCGAAATTAGCGACAATGTATTTAACGGAACCATTCACAATGAATCAAATTTTTTCACTCATTGCAGTTGTTAGTTTTTCGAATGAAACCACTAACAATATTTATTTTTGTCAAAGTTATTCACTATAGAAACCTAAACGAACTATTCAGTTTAATCTATCACAATGTGTTTTGTATGACAATCAGTTCCAGACATACAACATATTATAAGTGCATATTATAATGCATAACGTATTATCATTACTATCATACATACCCAGACTTCAATTTAGAATTCCATTAGATAGGGTAATTTGAAAGTTTTGTCCGTTTTTATGAATCCAAGTGATTGAAAGTATGATAGCCTGTTGGCGAAATGTCTGGGGAGTACGGGGGGTGAGGCAGAACTTCATCGCTCAATTCGTTTAATTTTCGAACGATGATTTATGAAACGAGCTGACCTCTTCTGTTTTGAATTTTGCAATTGGAAATGCATTAGAAGAAATTGTGACTTTCTGAAGGCGATATAATTCACAGACGAATGTAGTTTTTCTCGGGACGAGATTATTAATTTTCATAATTACCACATATGGGCTGATGAAAACCCTCACGCTATTGTCGAAACTAACCATCAAGAACAGTTTTCTCTTAACGTGTGGCTCGGAGTTATTGGGGATGATTTAATTGGGCCTCATTTTCTACCTCCTCGATTGAATGGTGAGGCAAATGTTCAATTTTACTGCTGGTACTGCTGGAGGAAGTTACTTTGGGCGTCAGAAGGGATATGTTTTTCATGCATGAGTTCATCAGCTGCTCGTGCAGCTGCCATAAAGAGAAATGCTCCAATTCCTGCTCTCTCATGGTCACGGACCATGAAGAGAAGGGGATCCGAACTCCCGACGACTTTACAAGCTGTATCCAGTACCATTCTGTCATGTAGACAGTACCATTATTTTTTCACCGTAGTTTGCGCTGGTCAGGCCCTATCCCCCGAAGCCCCGATACATTCGGGAGGGCGCGCCATATACAGAATCGAACTCATCTTTGTTAGTAATTGTTGACTAGCCAACAAATGAGAAAAAAGAATCGCAACTGATATTATGATAATAATATAATAATAATAATGACTTTATTCATAAAAAAGAATAATTATAATCATACAAACAAATAATAGCTATGTTGAATGATGACTATATATGAGAGTTTAAAGCATCCTGACCGCGATAAAAACAAGAAAAAACAAAATATTTAGAGGATTACTTTATTTACAATACACATGAATGAACATTCAAATGGAGTCTTTTGTGCATACACTTTTTGAAAATGTTGACTTTCGTTTATATGTTTCATTGTTTTCCCTCATAAGGAACCAACAATAATCCCAATCATTGCTGCATCCCATCTGCCTTGGTATCGTTGCTTCATTGTCAGTATGTCTTGGTGGAACCTTTCCCCTAGTTCGTCACTGACAGCACCCAAATTTTCTGGGAAGAAAATCAAATGGGAGTGCAAGGAATGGATTTTGAGAGATATGCGACATCCCGTTCTGCAGTTGTTTTCAAGTAGTTCTTCTACAAGTGTTTCGTAATTTTCTACTTTCTTGTTCCCTAAAAACTCCGAAACAATTCTCTTGCAAGAACTCCACTCAGCTAATTCAATATTACTTAATTTTTGATCGAACTGTTAATCACTCAGTAGTTTTCTAATTTGTGGTCCAACAAATATACCTTCCTTGAGCTTTGCACCACTCAATTTTGGAAAAACATGTTTAAGATATATAAACGCATCACTTTCTTTGTCTAATGCTTTCACAACATTTTTCATCAACACCAGTTTAATGTGTAATGAAGGTAACAAAACGTTTTTGGGATTAACGAGAGGTATATTCTTCACGTTAGTATGGCCTGGAATATATGTATCACTCTTTTACTTAATAATGGCTCTGTGTTGCCCTACTGTTCCAAAGGCAAAGAAAACAGCAAAACTTCGTAAATCCGCCCTGTAGACCTTGTAATAGTGCTATTACTTTTAGGTCACCACATGAACTGCTGATCGAAAAGCTTCAGCGCTATGGTATCAGAGGGGTATTGAATTCTATCTACAAAATAGAAAGCAATGTGTTAGATCAAATGAAAGTATTTCTAACTTAGAGCCTATAACTCACGGTGTTCCTCAGGGCTCCGTTCTGGGTCCACTTTTGTTGTTGGCAGTTGATATGCCAAATTTCTGGGTGTTATACTCGATGATACCTTAAATTGGTCGAAACATATTGAATAAATTTGCTATAAATTGTCTAGTGTGGTCTTCATTTTAAGACAACTGAGGAAAGTGGTGAGTGAAGATGTTTTGTTAAATACCTATTACGCACTTTTTCACTCCCATATAGCATATGGTACAATATTGTGGGGCAGTTCCACCAATTCAATAAAAGTCTTTAAACTCCAAAAAAAGGCTGTTCGAACTATTGCGTTTGCAGGTTACAAAGACCATTGTGGGCCACCAAAAATACGGTAATATTACCCTTTTCAATGAAAAGGTGAAACAGTTCCTCATCAGCTCAAGTTTCTACACTATTGCAGAATATTTAGACACCCCCCCATTCGCATGAGAATGTTCAGATATTTAGTTTTTTTTTATATCTATAATCGTTTTTAAGTATTGATGTTTTGTTGAGTTCGATGGTTCATGATGTATATTCAGTGTTTCTGACTGACTCCATGATTTTTTTTTCTACATACAAATGCAATTATATTTAAAACCAATTTTTTTTCCAGTTTTTGTAATATGACTTGCTACAAATGTAGTTTACATGAACGTAGTCAAATAAAGTATGTCTATGTCTATGTCTATTTGCTACTTATACGTATTATAACTTATTGCATTTAGAATAAGTGACTTACTTTCGTGTGTTTCCTTAATGGCAACTGCATGCGCAAGAAAGATAGAGGGTTTTTTTACCATTATGGAGCAGAACGACTTTTAAACTTGTTTTCGACTAATTTATAAATGAACGACATTCGTCCGGTTTATGTGCAAATGCTAATTTTTCCATCACAACATTTATATTTACACAAACAGACATTTTATCCTGCATAGTAAAAAACGAGGATAGTTCATGGTTACGGTTGCTAAATATTGTGACTTTGGTTTTAGGGGCTATTAAATTCCATTCTCTTTGGACAAGTGGAGGTCCCGAACTAGGTCATTTAATCCAGGTTGTTCGATTAAATGAGGTCTTCTTCTATCACTTTCAGGAAAATGGGAACTTTTTTTTTCTGGCACATCATGGGAACCTGCCTGGTCATCATACATTTCCAAATCTTCCTCCAAATTTGCCGGGGGTGTTGGAACTGGAAAACCTTCTCCATGAAGAACCAGCCTTCTTGCAGAAGGATTATCCGGATATACAGTTTTGTGTTTGCTCTTTCTTGAAGAACCTGACACGTTTGTCATACAAAAGTTACAGTAGTTGTAATGATTTGTTGTTCCTCACCAAATCATTGGAAATGCAAAAGGCATAAAAGAGCATTTGCCATTTAACCAGTTACGTAGATTTGCTGCACAGGTTTGGCAACATACGTGAGGAGTCCAATCCCGAACTTGACCACCAACAACACATTCAATATACTTATGGTAAGCTTCTTTGGTCATTTGATTAATTGGCCGTTTCTGCGATTCGGGAGTAAACTGACCACATATATAGCAAAAACTATCTGCGGGATTAACGCAGCCACGTTTCTGTACTTTGGACATTTTTGTACTGTTGCATACGTCGAGTTCAAATATGTGATACTGCGTTCACAGGAGTCAACTCATTTCACAAAGATAACACTAGTATAATACTTTCAATATTTGCTTCTCTGATACTAACTCACCACTACTTGCGTTATATCAATATTGATGATCCGATTGTCAACCTGATACTTTTGTAACGATTCCGTATTTCTGGTATTTTCTGGAAACATCGAGTATCGGAAGTTCGAGAAGCGGTGTTACAAGTCTCATGTACAGCAGAAGCAGATTCGAATACTGGGCAGGGCCGCTGTGTTGCCAGATTAACAATTTCTTCAATTTAGGGGAAAAGCAAATTACAGTCATGAATTGGCTGTGAACTAGTATGTTTAATGTCAGCTTGATTTTGTTCAGTTTCCTGGTAAAATTCACATCAACTCACTCAAACGACTGTTTCATAACAAATGCGCGTCCAAACTGTCTAAAACTTTGTTGAGTCACTGTGAACAGGTGAACAACAAAATTCACTAGCTTTTATCCACGAGTGCTGCTTCCTTCATGTTGAGGTCGTAAACTTTTCAGATGACCCCAAGAATAAGTCTAATTTCATCAAAACATTCATTATGATGTGATGTACCGTATGGAATATTTGGTGTAGTAATGAATATTACTGGAGTTTCTTCTCAACACCAAACCGTTATTTTAACATCTCGACATGATCACCAAGTGATCATTTTCAAGAAAAAAGATGAAACCGTGAAGATGATCATTTGGTAATCGAAACACGTGTCGAGGTGTTAAAATAACTGCTCAGTGGATTTTATTATTATTGGTATCAAACCTATTCTGTATAGTGTCATTATGACGTCTCTCATTGACAAGGAGATACTTCGATTATTCTAAAGACTCAGTAAATGATTTGAAGTAAATGAATGAAGTGCTATGTTCTTGCTATGTATAATCTCGAATAGATAAATAAATAATCTAAGTGTTCGTAAATATCTGAGTATCCCTGATACTCGTCATTAATTTTTCGCATATTCATATTTCATGCTTCCGATATTATTTCGAAAATATTTTTATGGTTACTGAAAGGAACCTTGAATGTCAATTTTCCAGAAAGATAAACATGTGTACAACACTAAGTACTGAACGTCACCCTCTTAAATTCCTTGAATTAATCTCCATATTATATGATATATAGAAATCGAGGCGTATAAAAGTCGCTACCATCGTTTTCAGAAACATTAAATTCCTCATTTCACCATGAAATACGCAGTGGTATTGATATGTGCTTTGGTGCTCATTTTGGTAAGTTAGTAGTATTGCTGCCATTGAGGAAAATTCCTTTTTTTTGAAATGCAGTGTATTGTATTTGATTATACTTTGATCTTTCACAATCCGAAATAAACTGAAGTTACTTGAAACCCTAAACGAATGTAAAAAAGACACACTACCCAAAAAATTTGCTGAAACTAAAACGTTTTTCGGTATAATGAAACAAACAACTTGTATTCTTAATTTTGCCTACAACAAAATAGTTAAAAAAAAAAGTATCTTTTTAGAAATATTGAATTCATTCCTATGTTCATAAAGTAATGAAAAATGTGGTTGAATACTATTGAACATGCAAATACTCATTTTTCAATTCACCAAAAATAATATTTGACATTGTACCCGTCTGGCTTTGAGATGACATCCTAAGTAAATTTATCAATTTGCTAGAAAGGACAGTCAGCCCTTCACTGTGTTCAGGACAATTCTAATCAAAGGCTAGATACATATTTTCAGAAAATTACGCAATTTTGAATCTGCAATTTGAAATTCCCACTTCCATTCTCTAGTACATCAGAAGTTTCCAAAGTTTCTGTTCACAAAATATTATTTCTTCATTTTCAATTATTACTGAGAGAATATTGAACATTCCTGATGAAAATACTATATAGTGGAGTAGGTTTCGTAGTTTTGTAGACGGTTTTAAGATCTATTGGTCCTCTCCAAAAGAAAATGCTTTGTATATCTGGAAATATGTTGAGAAATTTACTGCCGATCCTCTCTTTTTCTCATGTCAATTTTCATGATTACTGAATACATATAGAATATAGACGTTTTCAATAGTTCAAGAAATAAACCATATAGTTGATTGTTTATGACAAGAGATCTGATGTCACAAACGAACATAACTGTTAATCATTACAGATGTAAACAACATTTTGAAAAATGGTTACTTCCAAATGACACTATGAATAGAATTTTGTTTTTTGAGTTTTCAGATTTGCGCAATTTGTGAAGTGTTCAAGACAATCATTTAAAAAAATAAAATATATAGAACACGAGTTTTTAGATTTTTTCATTTCAGTTACCTTTTACTGATTTTTGGAGATTGATTGCTTTTTTTCTTCCTTTGGAAAATTCCCACATTTTTTATATGAAGATGGACAGGTAGAAAGTCTGGAAAAAATCTGGAAAACTCTCTCATAGACATCTCTGGGATGGGTCAAATAATTATTAATATATAACCTGAAATGAAAAATGAAATTGTAATGGAAAACTCTACACCTGACTTTTTTATAGAAAAAAACTGATTTCCTTCGCAAAAATTGATGTTGAATACCGAATTTATGGAAAAGTAACCCCAATGTAAAAATTTCAAATGGAATTACTTTCATGTTTCTCATTTCTGATGCAGAAATGGTTTACTTTTTATATTAGATATGATGTTCTAATAGTACTCATCGATTTATATATCTATAAGTAGATTTGCTTACAATTAGTCTATTCCAAAATTAATTTCAACTTAATGATAGATTCAATCTTTGCAGCGAAGAACTAGTAATGAGAAATGAGTCCTTTGCTGATCACTTAATCCACAATTTTCTGTACTGTGCAGATATGTAGAAGATATCTTGAAATGAATGATTTACCAAATATTATGGAGGTGGATGAATCAATTAATTCTTTTAGAATTGACTTCCATCAAAATAAGTAACAAACATAATTCTCAAATTCTTCACAAATTTTAAAAAACATTTTCAAAAATAATTTTGTGATAAATGTATGTAATCATAAAGTGACAGCATTCAATAGTGATATATAATAATAATTTTTATCGAATCCTTCAAGATCACAAAATAATACAGAAACAATTGAAAGCATTACAGGATTTCAATTCAATTTCGTGAAATCAGCATTAAAATAATTTTTTGAAAATAAAAGATGTAGACTCAACACAGCTATTCATTTGGAAAAGTTCATTGAAAGCAATAAAGACAAAACGTCAGTGTCAGAGGAGATCTTACTCTCAAAAAATAAAAGAAGACGGAGGTGGTTGTTTGAACGCGAAGCCCAATTTTACTTATGCTAATCATCTGTTAGCAGATAAATATGAGTTGAATCACAACTTTTGGAATACTTATGTATCAACAGATTCAAAGATTCAGTTAATGACCAAATAAAATTGGATAATTATTTTTTAAGTGATAATTAGTTGAATATTGCAAGTGAAGTTGATACGTGAACTCAGATAGATAATTTCGGCCAACTACACCAAATACCTATTATTTTCAGGGCGTTCTAGATTCCAACCAACAGACACCCAGTAAAATTGAAGATGACGATGATAGTGACAGTGGAGTGCTGGCTAGTTTCAAGGAACAAGTGGACAAATTGGCAGATCTGCTAGGGAATGTTTCCGGTATATCTTTTATACTAGACAAATGTGACACATTTTTCGAAATATTACTAAAAGCACTCAGTTCTTGCAGAGGATTCTTTGGAAATCTGAATGCAACTCTTAGCCATCAAGATCAGTGAATAATGGAATACATGAGAGTACTGTAGCCAATAAATAAAGATTACTTAATTACAAAGTTTCATTTTTATTTTGTCTTTCTTAATTTGGAGTAGAAGAGAAGGGATTGAATTTTACTAAATAAGCAAAAAAATAATACTGGGCATATTTTCAAGATCTATACTTTTGAGTGCAAAAGTAACTTTTTCAAAACTTACTCATTTATCTCGGTTTCTCCCTACTGGTGAGTCCTGAGAAGCTTAGATTTGGTATATGGGTTCTTCTTAGGACTAAAATGCGCATTAAGAGAGGATGGACTACATAGAGACTTGTGCACATTGCCAATTGCACAAATCAATTCAATGCAGAGTGCAACATACGAAGGTAAATTTTTAGGAACAATTTTGGATGAAACATTAAGTTGGGATCAACACATCGATAGTGTCTGTAAAAAACTAAATAAAGCATATTTTGCGATCAAGCAAATGAAAAACTGTGTTGACCAACAAGGTCTATTGGCAATCTATTTCGCTATGGCTTATTCCCATATTTCACTCAATATAATGTCTTGGTAGAGATTTTAATAGGATATTTGTAGCACAAAAACGTATTATAAGATTGATTTTCAATATGGAATATAGAGATAGCTGTTATCCGATATTTGTCAGAATGCAGCTATTATCGGCACCATCAATTTATCTGTTCAAATGTGTTAATTTTGCGAGAAAAAATCTGTCCACTTTTGCAACCAATGCATCAACCCACAAGCATAACACGCGGCATGGTAGCTTATTGAGAATACCAGCCCACACCACATCTAAATTTAAAAACTCTCCCCAGTATAGTGCTATTACGTTTTATAATAAACTACCCAACTTTTTAAAAAACTCCAAATCAGACAATAGTTTTTATAAAAGTACTAAGGAATTTTTTATTGAAAAATGTTTTCATAATGTACAAGAGTATCTGGATGGCAACTTCAGCTGAGTTTTATTTTGTTTAGTATACTAACAAACTCTCATTGAGATTTTAAACTTTATATCTTACTTACTTGCTATATTTTAAATGTTTATGTTTAGTATAAATAGTACCTGTTGACATACCATATGTACATATTGTACCTCAGTGGCTAAATAAATTATTATTATTATTATTACTGTTGAGAGAAGAGAGGACTGGATCCTCCGGTAGGAGGAAATATTAAGAGCAGATAGTTGTTGTTTCACAAATGGATCAAAAGCACCTTCCGGTTCTGGTGCAGGTATTTTCAGTCGCAGACACAGGACAGGATATTAACCTGCTTAGGAACCTATTATGAGACTGTATTCCAAGCGAAAATTTACGGCATTGAATTGTGTGCGAAGAGATTGGAAGAATTCAAACTCATAAGCAAGTCAATAAAAATATTCTCGGACGATCAAGCGGCGTTGAAAGCTCTTGGCTCCTACCGAGCAACTTCTAAACTGGTATCGAATTGCCAAAAACGACTCTCCTCCATAGGAAGACTTAACAGATTGTCACTGGTCTGGATTCCCGGCCATACTGACCTGGAAGGCAATGAGGCTGTTGACTCCCTTGCAAAGGAGGGTGCTGCAAGCAGCTTCATCGTACCAAAACCTGTCATTGGCATCGCTTTAGGCTTTGCCAAACAATGACTGAACACCTGGATGGCAAGAAGATTCATGGACTTCTGGCAGAATCTTCCATGATTGGCTCACTCCAAGGCGTTTAATCACCCTTCGAAGCTTGATACCAAATAGTTGTTGGACTGAAGTAGGGATGAAATACGATGTCTAACGAGCCTTCTTACAGGTCACTGTTATTTGAATTATCATATGCAGAGATTCGCACTGTCACAAGACAGTGTGTGTTGCCTCTGTTTGGAAATTGATGAAACAGCAGAGCACATATTTTGTGCCTGCCCCGCTGAGGACCGAATCAGGTTTTTAGAGTTCGGCAGAGCCGTACTCTTACCATCTGACCTGAAAGACCACTCACCATACAAACTAATTGGCTTCGTTAAGAAGCTGGGTTTATTTGGGTTATGGCAAAACCATAACTACTCAACTAGGCATAAATATAATTACAAATCACCCCTTATGTATAAGTCGATCGGGCAAAAAAGCTATCCATATCTTGTGCCTAAGTTGTTTATGGAAATTATAGAGAGTTAAATCAAATAGGCAATGGATTAAAATGAATAGAAAAAAAAACAAAAAAAAAAGTATAATAACAGTAATGACATTTTTACCATTGAATTCTTCAATGTAGATATTTTAGTATGTTTTTGCTTTTAGATTTTAATTTCAGATCATTTTATTAGATGAACTTATACACTCTGTGTATGTATATTTCGTTTCCATTAGTAATGTCTTATGTGTTTCTTTCAAAACTTACAAACAAGTACTTGTACTTCGTAAACTGTAAATTTATTCACCGTTAGTTTTAGAAATTTGTTTTCAAATTACAATTTTGTACTATTATCCTTGTACTATTATCCTTGTGTGTGAATAAATATTATTAGTATTATTATTATTAAGTGTGAATAGGTGTACGCTACAAGAAACCCTTGCGGGTTGCGGACCTAATCTAACTTAATGATATTCATCAACTTTTAGGAAAACGAAGCATATCAAGTAGAATCAACAAAGTCTTCATTTTGGACACAGCTCCGACACTAATATTTGTTTTATTTTTGTTCAATATTAATTGAATTAAGAAACATTTTGAACCTGGGAAATAATCATTTATATCGTTCAAACTGTTTTTTGTGTATGAAATGAAGAACGTTATATTTTAAATAAACAACAAAATACCACAGTGATTTGCTTTTTATTTGAAAATGTACATGACTATGACTACATAACCAAAATTATTGTAACATAAGACCTGGAACATGAAACTATAGAGAACTCTAACACCCGTCACAATTTAAGAAAATCCATATCAAGAACAAGAAACATCATTCATTACCTGTTAATTAGTTTAGTGATCCAATATTTTTTCTGTAGAACGTTTGATTAGGCAACAGAATCAAACATTGATCAAACAATTGATTTTTTTGCCAACGTTTTGAATTAATTGAAATTCCCTTTCAGGGCCCTGTAACAATGAATTTTCATAAACATACCTCCCACAAAACGTATACGATCATTATTGTTTCAATTTCACAAGAAATTAAGAGTTTCTTATTGAATTACTCACCATGAAGTGATTATTCTTGCTAATATTACTATTTTAAAATCCTTCAGTCAAAACCCTTGGATCAAATGGGTTAGAAAATATTGGTTTCATGAACAGCGTAATCCAATGTTCATCAAACACGAGATGATTATGGGAGTATTTGAAAAATGATGAATTCATGGAAGATATCAATACTAGTAATTCTATTTTTTGGGAAAGGAAGTTTTTGGCTTTCTACTACTCCATCTTGGTACAAAAAAATTTTGGAATCTTCCAAAGAAAGGAAGGAAGTAATCAATTTGAAAATAAGTAACTCTATACATGGATGTGTAGATCATGCAAAGAAGCAACTTTCAGACACAAACTGGAAGACAGCCCTCCTGAAACAGCTACTTTCATATAAACATTGAATTACACGAAAGAAAAAAATTCTTTCGAAACGAATACTTTCACATGAACACTGAATTATACAGAAGATACTTTTCTCTACTCAGTTTGTATTCCAAACAATCGTTATGGAATGAAATTCAGATATCATTCACAGGAGTTCTACTTTGAATGAATGGTATTAAATTGCACTTACATGAAACACTGTCATCCTCACTGGTATACATCGATGTTTCGCCATAAGACACTTGCCTTAGGGCTCGTCAGTACCAAATTGGATAACATTATAAAAAATACACACAATTCATTCATGAATTAAGATTTTTAATGTCACGTAATAAGTTTGATCTACTTATGTCATCGATGACATCGTAATGACATTCATTCACCTATTTGATTAAATTCTAGCCAAGAGGAATCTCATTTGAATTGAAGGGGTTATATTTTTTAGGAGAGAGTAATTCTAGTATGGAGGGTGCTTTGATCAAAGCGTTTGCAGAACTCATCAAGGAGTTGTGTTCAGAATATTCATATGATAGAGTAGTGAATACAGTCTCCTTGAAAAATCAGATTCAAAGTTTTGTTCCTCGATTCTTGGGTAATGCCTATCAAGACGCCCAGGTGTTTCTTCGTTATCTTTTAGAAGGTTTACATGAAGATTTTAATATAATTAATGAGAAACCTTTACCAATCTTAACGGAGATTGACGAAAAATTGAGTGTCAGTGGAAATTCACAATAGTCATGGATAACATATTTGAGGATGCATAACACTGAGATTGTAGATAATTTCGTTGGTCAATTGAAATCCACAATGAAATGCACATACTGTGTACACTCATCAGTAACCTTTGATCCTTTCTGGGATTTGTCTCTCCCCGTACCACAAAGAACCAACCAATTGAGTTTGTGGTAATGCTTGGATTATTTTACAGAGGAGACACTTTGGATGGAAATGAAAAACCGACGTGTTTGAAATGCAAGTAATGGAGAAAATGCACGAAGTCTCTATCAATCCACAAATTTCCCCATAATTTAGTAATTTATTTGAAAAGATTCTCCCCAACGAAAAGATTCAGAGGAAAATTGAATGATGTCATCGAATTTCCTCTAGAAAGATTGGATATGGACAATTTTGCAGCAGAAAATGTGATACTTATTGTTATAATCTATATGCACTTTTGAATCACAGTGGGATTACTTACAGAAGGCATTATACAGCATACTGCAGACACACGTATACTGGTGCGTGGCACAAATATAACGATTCACCCGTATTACCAATTCCACCAAAATCACTTGAGAGTGGAGAAGCAGACGTGGTAGTTTCTTTGTGCAATTATTATTTATTTGTTGTTGAGTTCAAACAAAATAAATATTTTTAATATGCAAGCAACAAATGGAAATTGAATAATTAAAAAGGAAATAAAAATTAAAAAATTTATACAAGTATATCAACAATTAGTAAGTGTTACAGGTATTACTTCAGGCTATGCCATCTTCTATGAAA